GAGAGAGAAACTTGTTTGCTGGGTAAAATATATCTAAATATATCTAAAATAATATAGTATATCGAGGGCTTGGAACCAGAGGGCGTAAGTGGCCATTTAACAAACTTTACAGGAGAGCCAAAACAAAATTTTGACCACACTTCAATCAACTGTATTTATTAACCTTCAACCACAACATTCTTATATGAGTAAGTTCTTAAGTGAAGATATTATGGCATATTAACACAATAAATATATTATAAAACCTTGCAAAATCTTGAAAATATGGCAAAAACTAACCCTAACCTATCTGCTGATCAGTGCAGAAATGATTTGTCAAAACATTGGTTAAAAACCCTCTAACTTTTCATTTTATTTAAAATACTGTATACGTAGTCATTTAATTTCATTATTTCAAACTGTTTAACATTTTATTTCTAACCGTTTAATTTAAATTCTCATGTATGAGTGTTAAACAGTTTAAATTTAATTTCAAACAGTTTAATTAAAATTTTTATTCATGAGTTCACATTAATGCATTTCATTTCAAACAGTTTAACATTTTGTTTATTACACATTTCACTTTTTACACTCAAAAAATGTTTATGTTGGCTTTACTTAACTTTTTAATGTAACCAGGTTCCATACATTTACTTTTTTTTAATGTCAACAGGTTCCACATACTGTAACTGGGTTACACTAAACAAACATAATTTGTTCTTGTAACTTCAACATGGGGTTAAGTCATTAAGTCATTTTAAGCAACCCAATTAAACTCTGAGCTGAGTGTTAAATGAACACTACTATAGCCTAGTTCACACTACATGATTTTAAAATGTCGGGCTGAACTGTGCAGTTTACACTACATGACTTGCTCTCAGTGAAATCATGAGTGTTCAAGTTGTTTAGCTGTTCACACCACACAACACAGCGTGATTGATCCACAACAGGAGGTAACTCACTACACGAGTTAACAACGCACTACATAGAGATACAACCACGATCACATGATAAGAGCATATCATTTGTGACTCAATGAGAGCTGTTTCAGTACTATAGTACGGTCTAAATCCTGAAAATAATCAAACAAATACGAGTTGACAACAACACGATTCTATCTGGTCTAGAAACCATGTTTTGTCACGAAAAACCACGCAATAAAACGAACCAGAAATGACGCGAAACTGCAGAGAACACAACACGCGAATATGGACGTCAGACAGAAACTAGTGCTGCACACTGTTTGCTCGACGATCTGCTCTGAGAAAAAAAAAAATGCATAAAAGAAAAAGTAAGATTTACCTGGTGTCCTCAACCCATGCGTTGCTATGATTGGCTGTACTCATGACATCACTGAGATTGAGTCGCGCGACTGCTCGAGATATCTAACATGCTAGATATTTTTCTGAGCTCGGTGACCTGTCTGCGAGCTGTCTGCGAGCTGTCTTTGATGCGTTGTTGGCTCTTTCACACTATCGGATTGGCGAGCGTTAATCGTCCGCTAATCGCCCGCGATTTGCACGCGATAACACCCTGACTTGTCGGCGACTCAACGATTTGCAAATCGGGCTTAAATCGGGCTTAAAATCACGTAGTGTGAACTAGGCTTATATCTCATTAAAGTTAATGAGATAATTAAGTGAACAATTGAGTGATGGTTGAGCATCATTGAAGACACCTAAAGCAGAATCACTGAAGGAGAAAACCTGAATTGTAGGTCACCGTTATGGTGATCGGTGTTTGCTTTAGTTGGGCTCTTGACCCTTAAACCAATGACTTTAGATTTTGTTTGGCTGCTGTAAGTGAGTTATAACAGCCAGATGGTCAAATAGAAAAAGGTGATCTGATGGTGTTGGTTGTGTTTTAACATAATCATTATATCACAATCATTTGACCTGAATCACTGAACTCATATAGAACTCAATTTCTAAGTTACGTTTACCTTATGGATTATAGCAGCACTGTCGTTGTAGAGCACACCATTTTAGCCTTTTCAATGAAATCCAAATGATCAAATCAATAAAATGTAAACAAAGAGGAACTTCTAAAGTAAAAAAAAAAAAATGTAGGCACACACAGAATCAGCCTGTGTATCTCAACAATGGTGACACTTAAAATACATGTTGCAGTTCATTCTCGGTTCCACCAATCAAAACTCATTCATGGCTCCCATCATGCATTGCTGCATGAATAAATAATCAGCTAAGGTGATCTGTTTGTCACCATTGCTGATATGTAGTTTAGCTGAATCAAATCTTCCTAATATAAAAGTACTTCTATAGAGAAAACAAGAATTTGGTCACTTTTAAGACTATAAAGGGGTCCTTTAAAATAATTATAAAAAAACTGTTATTACACACTTCCACCAAGTATACAGCCTCACATAATCATCATAAAAATATTCATATTGTGGTCTGATCAGTTAAAGTGTGATTTCAAATTCAAAATCATTATTCTGTTCTAATATCAGCCCCTGAAAGTGAAATATTCCACTGAGTTTATAATATGAACTACAGTCAGAGTCTCAGAGAACTGATATAAACACGTTATTATTGTGAGGCTGAAATACAATATTCAACATTAGTGAACATTATTCCAGCTGAGGCTGATGCATGTCAAATAATAAATTATCCATAGATTGGGACCTGGGAATTACTTTATCTTCATCATCTTCATCTTCTTTAAAGGAATAGAGGCTGTCTGAACCAGTTGTGGGAGTTGATGTGGAGCAGAACAACAAAACACCAATCAGAAACAATATCGTGTCATGAATCTGTCAATCTGTACCTTTAACTTTAGTTGTATGAAGGATCAATAATTCAACATGTTTTACACTCGTCATAATAAAGTTCACATTTATATAGAGGGGTAACTGGTATAACTGGCCAATATGTGGGATAACTGTTCATTTCTTGTAAAGACACAAACTGTGAAGTTTTCATCACAAACTAAACGTGTGCACTTTTCCACTGTTAATACTCATAAGAAGACAAGCGTCAATCATAGAGAGTGTGTTATTATTACACTGTGTGTGTTCATCGGTCAGAGAAACTCATCAATAACACTGAATCAACAATAGAAAAAAATGTAGAACCTGATTGACGATTATAGAATGATTTAAAATGTTTAAATATGTGTTATTTTATTATTTTTTAGGGTTTGGTTTGTTCTTTTTATAGACAGCGTTATTAATCATAATGGTAACACTTTACAATAAGGTTCATTAGTTAACATGTACTAAGAATGAACAATCCTTCTTCAGCATTTATTAATCTTATTTAATATTAATTCCAACATTTACTAATACGTTATTAAAATCAAAGGTTGTATTAGTTAACATTAGTTAATGGACTGTGAACTAACATGAACACACAGTGAACAGCTGTATTTGTATTAACTAACATTAACATAGATTAATAAACACTGTAACTAATGCATTGCTCATCGTTAGTTCATGTTAGTTAATGCATTTACTAATGTTAACTAATGAACCTTATTGTAAAGTGTTACCATCATAATCTTTCATCATAAAGTAATAACTTGATAACCTGAAACCACTTTTTCCTTTTTGTTTACTGCGTTGCATAAAACATCTGGGAAAAACTTTATGTGGAAATCAGTTTATCAGTTATTAGAGTATTAATAAAGCCTCTGGTTAATGTCTGCTGACTCTTTATTTCGATGCTCCTCAACAGACTATAACTGCAACTACATGTAAACTTATTATATACAAACTATAACTGTATTATTTTACTAATACTGAGAGTGAGTTGACATGTACATTTATTTCTGTCCTCTATTCATGTTTTCGCTCTAGTTTTTGGGGAAGTTATATTGAAATTACTTACAGAACCTTTAATTAAACCATTGAAAACACAAGGAAGGGGAAACAATTATCACAAAATAAAAATATTTAAGTGGTTTAATAAACAAAAGCAATATACAAATCATTATATTATTTGCATATGAATGTATAGAGAAAAACACAAACTCCATCATATAGGACACTTCAACCCTCAGCATGAATATATTTATAATGGATTATGTGTTTTATCACTGTTTAATACTGGAACATAATTTAAGATTCCTCTCTGAATTCAGAAATGACAAAATTTAAATTAACTCACAATATCACACACAAAATCAAATTCAACGAGTTAAGCCAACTCGATTGCCTCAATTCATTTGATCAAGTTTATAAAAACAATAGTTATGATGAGAACTCTGAAAATATTTCAGTTGAGTTCACTAAAAGTTGATATTGAAGTCAAGAAGTTAAGTGATTAATTAAGTTATTAATTAAGTGATGATTGAGAATTACTGCTGTTAACAAGCAGAATCATAGAAGGAAAGAGAAACACACGAACTACAACTGACATCCAACCACAACATTAGATGAAATCAACTGAAGATAAAATATGTTTAAATCTCTCAGCAGAGGATCAAACAGCATTACCAGCTTCACTTATTAATAGCCAGTTTGACTTTTATCATGGGTCGACAGAAGGTGTTATTGTGAATGTTTAGATGAAGATGATTTATTGAGTTTCGTTTAAAGACACCATGATAGTGGTCAGTGTTTGCTTTAGTTGGGCTCTTGACCCTTGACATTGTAACACCAGACTTTCCTCTGGCTGCTGTAACTGAGTGTTTATGCAACACGTGTGTTATGGCACGAACATTTTAGCATGTGGTTGTGTTTTGATGATGAGTTATGGAATGATGAATCAACATTTGGTGTCTTGATTCTCTGATATTTTCTGGAGAATAATCACTGATTAAACAGGTGATATACAACTTGTATTATTAACTGTGATTCTGTTGTAAAGCCCATTGTTGTTACAATCAGATTTTAAAAAACTCTATGGTATCGTGCCGACTTACAGAATTAAGAATCAGCATATGAATCTCAACAATGGTGACCAGTAAAAAACAATTCATGCAGCAATGCATGCTGGGAGCCATGGACAAGGTTTGTACCCAGCATGCATTGCAGTATGAATCATTTTTAATGGTCACCATTGTTGAGATTCATTTGCTGATTCTTGATATCTGTTAGTTTTGCCAATGAATTATATTTTCTGTAAAATCCTTCAAACTATCTGATAGTCACAACATTGTTAGTGCTTGTGTTGTAGAATCTAGTTTTGAATACAACCAATAAAGTAATCAGAGATTAGACTCTGAATGTGATCAGTGAATCGAGTCATTAAATTATTGCCATTTATCCTTTTTTCCTTGAATATTGTGCGATAATAAATATTTCATCAACACTCAATTATAGCATCCACAGAATATCTTGTACTCAAATGTTAAGGGTCAAGAGCCAAACTAAAGCAAACGCTGACCTCCATCACAGTGACCTTAAACCTTGAATTTCTTGTGTTTCTCTTTCCTTCAGTGATTCTGCTTGTTAACAACAGGTATTCATCCCTAATGATCAATTGTCACTTAATTTATGATTAATTACCTTAACTATTCAATTATTATTCTGGGATCTACATATGTTCTATAACCCATTCAGGTTGAGTTCACTATTTCAGTCATTCAAGCCACTTCAAGTTTCGGTATTATTTGAGTGCAGTGAACTCAAATGAAGTGTGTGATTTTAATGCATTTATATATAAGAGCTCATATTTCCATAGATTCAGTGCTGGATATGGTTATATCTTTCTCTTCAGACCTGAAACTGTGAGATGATGTGCAGAACAACAGAAGATTATGATTATTTGTCTTAGATCTGCTATCAGTGCCTTTATACATGTGTGTAATACAAACCCACTGATGGAGAAAACACATTTGTGGACTTATGACTCAAAAGAGAAACTGACCTTGAAATCCACATGATCGGCGCTCTAAATAACAGCTGTTACGTGGGGACATTGAATGCCGTTCAGCGGTCCGTGAACTGGGGACTGAAATGGAAAGCTCAGTTAGTTTAAGACTATAAATATATGCTTTAAATAATTCCCAACACTTGTGTAATGCTTACGTCCACTGGATGCTGTCTCTGCTGCTGTAATCTCATCCTCATGTTTAATGCCGAATCCAAGTGTGTGATCATCCTCCAGTGTCAAGAGATTATAGTTGTCAAGTTCAGTCTTTTTAACTGTGAAGGAACAGTGAACACAATAATCAAAAGTATTTTACACTCTTCATCATAAAGTTCAAGTTATATTGCCACAAAATGAAGCACAAAACTCATACAAAATAATTAAAAAAGGTCTGATGCATATGAACGCTGTGACATGTTATTGTAAAAATGTGTGTAATACCAAACCACTGATAGAGAAACAAGCATTTGTGGACTGGTGAAACTGCTGACCTGCTGACCCATGAACGGGAAGAGAGTCACACGGGCGTTTCGCTGTAACAGAGCCTAAAATGAAAAGTTCAGTTAGAGTAAGACTATATAAATAAATGCTTTTAATAATGTCAAATACGTGTGTGAATAATGCATACTTCTACAGCGTACTGCGATAATATGACCCTCGTGTTTAACGCCGTAGAAACCCAGTGTGCGATTCTCCTTCAGTGTCTTGAAGCGGTGGCGAAGAATAGTGTCCTCAACTGTGGAAGAAACATGATGTAGCAAATTAGCTCTTTGAAATATGAATAATATTACTATAATTGATTGTGAATATTTGGATCAGTTTTATTAATATATTAAATATCTGCAGCTGGATAGGTTGCTGATGAAGATGCTATGAAAGATTCTTGTAATACTAATATTATGTTGCGCAGCTATCAACACATCATATACATGATCATGTTGATCTTCAAAGTACCAATTTATAGAGACCACCGAACTATGCGTAGGTGACCATCGATTGTGTCCGCAGCATCAGGAAGTGTTGCGTGATGTCAGGTCTCACGATGTAACGAACTGCTTTACGGCAAGAAAGATCTGCTAAAATGAGAAATAACCCGGCGCCGTATACATATATGATGTTCGCATACAACACAGTTCGACAGCGCGCAGCTCTTAAAGGGGCCACACCTTATTTCCACTCGTTACAGCTTCCATCTTACTGAACAGGTAGCGGTGTAGGGGAAGGGGATCAGGCCGTGAGCGCAGAGACAAATGTGCGTCAGTGCTATCTACGACAGTACAAGTACTCCACAGGCAAAAACAGAAATCCTGCATAGTGCTGCTTTAAATATAATCTGATCGTCGCCCTGATGACGGAAACCTTTCATGCTCTCTTACAATGGGGAACAACGGACACACACATGGTAAATGGTAAATGGACTGCATTTATACAGCGCTTTCATAGACGCAATGTCACCAAAGCGCTTTACAATGGGCGGCAGTGGCTCAGTGGTTCATGTGGGTTGTCTACGAACCGAAAGGTTGGTGGTTCAATCCTCGGTTCCACCTGACCAAGCGTCGAGCTCTCCATGAGTAAGACACCTAACCCCAGCTGTGTGTGTGTGTGTGTGCATGTGTGTGTGTGTGAGACACCTAACCCCAGCTGTGTGTGTGTGTGTGTGTGTGCATGTGTGTGTGTGTGAGACACCTAACCCCAGCTGTGTGTGTGTGTGTGTGTGTGCATGTGTGTGTGTGTGAGACACCTAACCCCAGCTGTGTGTGTGTGTGTGTGTGTGCATGTGTGTGTGTGTGAGACACCTAACCCCAGCTGCTCCCGACGAGCTGGATGGCGCCTTGCATGGCTGACACGGCCGTCGGTGTATGAATGAGTGTATGAATGGGTGAATGTGAGGCAAATGTAAAGCGCTTTGGTGGCCATTAGGTCTATGAAGGCGCTATATAAATGCAGTCCATTTACCATTTGCCTCACATTCACCCATTCACACACTCATTCATTCACACACCACACACATCAGAGAGCGATATTTCCTCATTAATATTTGATTTCTGAATTATGTTCATTTTCAACCTTCTCAATCTCATTCGCCACGAAAAAATGTCCCAATACGTGGACGTATTCCTCCCATGTTTGGGTCTGACTGTCAAAAGCAGTAAGTGTTGCTATCGCAGTAGCCGTCTCGACGTTTTGGTTCTCGTCAACCCACTTCCTTTAAATTTTCCTCGCTTTCGAGTTGAGCTTTCCGCGACTGCGCAACTGGGGTATGTATAGGTTGCCAGGTTGAGATGACAAACGTCTGGATTGCGTGAATGTAATGCATTTAATACAAGATCTGGCAACTGGTCAACATTAGACAATATTTTGGTCCGATTATTCATAAAGGAGTTTGGGCCATGCAAATTACGGGAGTTTCCCAGGAGAAATAACAAACCGGGAGAGGCCCGGGAGATGGGGCTAAAAACGGGAGAAACCCAGGAAAACTGGGAGTGTTGACAGGTATGGCGGGGCGACTCATGATCAGAGTCAGAGAGTGCACTCTAAAAAATGCTGGGTCGTTTTAACCCAATTTTGGGTCAAATATGGACAAACCCGAAATGTTGGGTTAAAAATGTAATGTAAAAATTTAACCCAACGGCTGGGTTAGTCCATATTTGACCCAAAGTTGGGTTAAAACAACCCAGCATTTTTTAGAGTGTGGCTAGCCTCCTAACGCCAGACTCAATTCTCGTTGAGACTTGGGTTTGGGAACCACATGTACATTTTCTCGTATTTGAGGCGTGGTTTACGAATGCCCGGCGTCGTTTCTTGGGTGCTCAGAATGTCTATCAAACGCACCTGTACAGCTCATAGCCAATCGTTTCAATTAGAAAAACACAAGTATTAAGTACAGTTTAATATAGATGTTGAAGTTGTTATTTGCATTGGAAATTGTTTGCGCTTGTACTTCACAAGTTTAAAAACATAAAAATTTAATTTAATGACTAAAGTCAACAACTTTAATCGGGTACGTGTGCACGGCTGAAAGTTATGCTACTAAAGCGGTAGCTGCTGTATATTGATATTGAAAAGCAACACAACTCAGTGGCACTGTGACAACCACAGTAGGAAGTCTACAGGCATAATGGCCATATGATATTAATAAATACCACTTACCATTTATAAGTTAAATAGACTTCGTCGACGACGATGCCTAGCAGGTTGGTACTATACAACTCCGTGGCTAACATGTCTTGCCACTTTGCGCTCATCCAGGCCTCGGGACTGCCGAACAGAAGTTGGTATCGACCATTCTTTACCGCATTTTCTTTCTCGGGACACAGCTGAGCGGCAGATATTCCCAGGCTGACCGCCTCCTGTACTGGTCCTCCATTAGGGCGATTAATGGCGAGACAACAATAACGACTGGGCTCTCGCGAAGTTTAACGCCAGAAACGGCTCTTTTTTCTAAATAAACTTAAACTACTTCTAAACTACTTAAAACAATATCTAAGGCTGCATCAAAAGCTTTGCATCTGCTGCCATGTTGAGTCCATAAACAAACTGCTTCGGTGTGAGGGATAGATATCGTCATCGTCTCGCTGCTCCCTCCCCGTTCTGTGAATGATTGATTCCCTAAATGAGGAGAAACGGTAACGGTATCCAGACTGCCTTTCAGTGTGAATTGAATCGCGCTGCGGTAAGGCAGTATGGGGAAACCCAGACTAGAGAGTGGCACCACCACCACGTCCAGCTGGAAAACTTCTGCAGTCCCTAAAGGGCTTTATGCACAGCTGCACTACTTCCTGAACTTCAGACAGCTCCTTGTTTCCTGTCTGCCATTATTGGCCGAACTTGATTAATCCAGGTGTGCTTGACCTCAGTAGTCACAGCAACAATAATCAGACACACCTGAATTAATCAAGTTTGGCCAATAATGGCAGACAGGAAACAAGGAGCTGGCTGAAGTTCAGGAAGTAGTGCAGCCAAAGAACGTATATTGACAAGAAGTGAAAGCCAATAGAACGTTCCACTGCAACACCAGCGCCAGCAGCGGCCCTACGCTTCCGCCATTTCGGGGTGAAAGCGACTCGGCAGTCATATAATATACATATATTTAGTCCAGTGCAGAGGTCATTTTTAGGTTGAAATAATTAGGTGATTATTTTAACTCACAACAGTTAACGTTATAGCAGTTTAAAATAAGTTGCTGAACCAGAATTTTTCCCCCACATAACTTGAGACAGGGAAGTTCAAGGATTGAATTAATTATTGCTCTCCACATTAAGTGTGACAGGTAAGAATAAAGTGATATCAGTTCATAAAGTTGTAATACCATTTCCAAGAGATACACATAACGGTATACAAAAATAAGTTATCAATGAAATAAATGAATTCAGCAAATAAATTTAATTGTACTAAAATGTAAATGTTGGACAATAAATATAACAGCAATAGTAAACAAATAGTAAACTCTTTTTTGCAGTATTATCTTATATTAATGACCGTTAAAGCAAGACTATGTAATAAAAAAACAAACAAAAAACACTAACGTTAAAGTTATAGGATAACAGACACAGCAATGCATCATGTTCTATAAGATCATCATGTTTGTAGCATGATCCAGGCGATTATAACATACAAAATATATGTCAGGCCTAGTGGAGTTGGTAACTAATAATAGTAGTAAAGGTGTAAAGTTGCACAAAACGGAAATACTCACTAATGCAAGAAAAAACTACCTCAAAAAACTGTTATCTGTGCTGTTGTCCAGTAACTCCAGTTGGAATTTTCACCCCGAAATGGCAGCCGCGCTACCGAAGCGCCACCTGGTGGCTGTTCCCAAAAAAAGCATCAGAGTTGCGCCTCTTGTTCTTCTACTCTTTGGGCCAAAATGCTATCTGTTCAATTGTTTTGAGCTCATCTACTCTTCCCTGTGGATGACCTGTGACCTACTTTCTGTAAGACCTGAACTTTCGAGATTGAATTTTTAAAAACTGAATTTGAACTTGAATCTGTATTTTTTTTAACTGAATATTTGCAGTATTTGAATTCAGAACAAAAAGAAAACTAGCTGTTTCAACATACATGTCTAGATAAAACTCAGCCATAAAAACATTTCAATTAGTTAAATTTTAAATGTTCAATATTCGTTAAAAAAAAATCTAATTCAGAACTATTTAAACTACCCCATAAAATTCAACTTTGTTAGATTACACTTTAATTGCAAATAATTCGAAAGTCAAATTCAAATCATTTTGTCAAATTATTAGCTCCATGATCCCATTAATAAGAACAGATTCTTCATTCAAATACAGATTTTCTTCGTTAACATGAATAATCTTCCCACAGGTCCGCTAGTGTCCACAGAGGACAGGCTGGACTTACGCTGGTCTCCAGGAATGAGTTTTCTCTTTAACTCCTCCACTGTGGTGTTCCTGAACTCCTCTTCTGAATCCGACACACAAACCTTTGTTCTCTCCAGTCCCTGTCTCATATCTCTAAAGTAGATCTGGAAACTCATGTTGAATGCGCTCGAACTTTAACTAAAGTCTCTCGTGATGTAGAAGTAACTGTTAGGCTAACTGTTCTGATGCACACAGTGATGGACATAGTTTCACTTTCTCATCTGGTTAAATCCGAATCCGACATCAGACGCACCCACTTTAGGCACTTTCTCCGTGTGATTTAGACCTCCAAAAAGTATTTGACACTACGGTGGCCGAGAGAGTTCAACATGTTGCAACCTAAAAAAAACGCATGCAAATAGAAAAAAACGTGTGCAAATATAAAAACGCATGCACATACAAAAAAAAAACATCCGCAAATTAAGAAAAACATCTTCATCAGTTCCACAACACACGTGTGCTCCAAGTACTCACAACACAACCAAATACAGAAACGCTGCAAGTAACACACATAGACATATACACTAGACCTCACCTGGGGGTTCTAAGCATGCGTCAAAACCGCCGCCATCTTGGAACAGGGGTCTTGTCATAGGAAGTAGCTCGGTAACGCTGCTATCTCTGCCTTTACTTCGAATTCATTGATGGTGGCGGACTTTTGTGCAGCGTATGATGTTCACGGATGAAATCTCAACTAGGAAGAATGTTTTTTAAAAAATAATAATAATAATTTCTTTCTGGAATCAATGATAAATACATAGTTGGAACAAATAAAAAAAACAAGAAAAATCACATTCATGATGATTTATGGTGATTTTATTTCCGTTAGACCTGTGTCTACTACAGTGACGCTGATGAACAGGCTCCCCTGTTTCAAGATGGCGGCTCTATTGACGCATTCGTTCTAATGAACTGTCGTAGCCAAGGTCCCAATCGGGTCCGTCACTTATTTGGTTCACACTTATTTGTGTTGTGAGTACTTGGAGCACACGTGTGTTGTGGAACTGATGAAGATGTTTTTCTTAATTTGCGGATGTTTTTTGTTGTATGTGCATGCGTTTTTATAGTTGCACACGTTTTTTTTTTGCATTTGCATTCGTCTTCATCAGGTTGCAGCGCGGTGAGCTCTCTCGGCCACCGTATGACACTGTTTTTGATGTGTGTGAATAGTGTGTGTAGAGCAGTCAGTGAACATGCAGAACATAATAACTTAACCAATCATTACATATAAAGAAACTAACTTATGTCAGCCTCTGTTACGACTGAGAACATCGACCTTCTGATCCAACAAACATTAATATAAAATATGAATAACATTTCCTTAAATTGAACATGAAATATGAAGCTTATGAAAATGTTTTTAATATGTGGTAATACGATTTTTTGTTGGTTTTTGATGCACTGAGTAATTTGCTTCATGAAATGACTCACTGATTCTCCTGCTGGTCAGATCAGTGTAACTACAGAAACATGCAGGAAAACACCTTTTACAAACCTAAACTAATGTTTAATTGAAGCTGAACTCAATTTAATGCATTTAACTTTGTCTATCTTTATAATATGTGTTATTTTATTAAATTGTATGGTTTATTTTGTTTATTTTATAGCCCGCTTGATTAATCATCAGACCAATTATAGACTTTTAAATAAACTCTTCCTTTTTTATTATATAAATGTGTCACGAAATGTGTACAAAACAGAAAATAGGACAGAAAATAGGCCTATATTAAAATAATATTAAATATCAATATAGTATTCTTCACGCAGTTCTATGCAGCAGAATCAGATTTATTTTTTGACCAATTATCAAAATAAAGTAGTCCTACAAGCAGATTTCAGGAGGATCAGTGAACACGAGTGTGTGTTACCAGTGTCACACACACACACACACCCACACACACCCACACCCACACCCACACCCACACCCACACCCACACACACACCCACACACACACACACACACACACACACACACACAGCAGAAGGCACTTTGAAATTGTGCACTTTCGGAAGCAGAGCAAAGTCACAAAACTGATCCAGAGTGAAACCTGATCACATATTTTCAGCCTTTTTTCTCTTTCGGCTAAAAACCAAAAATGACATTTTTGGCCGATTATTTTCAGCAGCCGAAATTTCGGTGCATCTCTTATTTTAAGACAATATGCTCTTGTGGGACACATAAAATAATGTGGCTGGCTTTGAGTTTGACACATATGAGTTAAAGTGTGATTTAGTTCAAATTTACTACCATGACATTCACTATCATATGCTCTTCTGATGTCGGCCTCTGAAAGTAAAATATTTCAGTGAGATTATAATGGAGCTCATTTGAACAACAGTAACAGTCACAATGACCTTATATATAAAAACACATGTTATTAATATGATGATTATGTGAGGCTGAACTACATTATTCAACATTATTCATTGGGTTCCAGCTGAGGCTGATTCATGTCACATAAATTATCCATAGATCGGGACCTGGGAATTACTTTATCATCATCTTCATCATCTTCAGGTGATCCTGTGAGAGATGATGCGCAGCAGAACAACAAAACATCCGTCAGAAACAGAATAATATCGTGTCTGAAATTATATAGAATCTGTCAATCTATACCTTTAACTTTAAAGGATTAGTTCACTTTTAAAAAAACTTTTGCTGATAATTTACTCACCACCATGTCATCCAAGATGTCCATGTCTTTCTTTCCTCAGTCGAAAAGAAATTAAGGTTTTTGATGAAAATGTTCCAGGATTTTCTCCATATAATGGACTTCAATGGGGTCCAAACGGTTCAAGGTCCAAAAGACAGTTTCAGTGCAAACTGTTCAAAGGGCTTTAAACGATTCCAGACGATGAATAAGGGTCTTATCAAGGACCCTTCGAGCCATGACTCGAAAAAAGATTCATTCATTTTGATGAACAAGTTCGAACAGGAGAGTCTAGCTTGTAAAACTTAAACTTTGTTATTTATTTATAAAATGAGTGATCGTTTCACCTGATAAGACCCTTATTCATCGTCTGGAATCGTTTAAAGCCCTTTGAACAGTTTGCACTGAAACTGTCTTTTGGACCTTGAACCGTTTGGTCCCCATTGAAGTCCATTATATGGAGAAAATCCTGGAATGTTTTCATCAAAAACCTTAATTTCTTTTCGACTGAAGAAATAAAGACGGACATCTTGGATGACACGGGGGTGAGTAAATTATCAGCAAAAGTTATTTTTAAAGTGAACTACTCTTTTAATAGTATGAAGGATCAATAATTCAAGATGTTTTACATTTATATTATGTAGATGATATGTGGGATAATTGTTCATTTCTGTGCATTGTTGTCTACTTGTGGACTTTCCACTGATATAGGTCAGGAAAGAAGAGAAAAGTCAATCATACAGTATGTCTCATAGAGAGCGTGTTATCACAAAGTATATGTGTTAATCGGTCAGAGAAAGTTCAAGAATAACTAGGGCTGGGCGATATATCGCATGATATTGTTATGTGGCCTTTTATAGTGGCCAGCCTAAGGCACACCTGTGCAATAATACTGCATCTTGATACGCCACACCTGAGAGGGGGATGGATTATGTCGGCAAAGGAGAAGTGCTCACTACAAAAAAATAATAATGATAAAATACAAAAAAACAAACAAAACCAAAACCAATTAGTGAACAATTTTTTTGAGTGAAATAGGCCTTTTGTGTACATATATCTGTATTTATTAACTGGCATTTCACTGTATAATGACAAAACTGTAAATCTAAGTAAAAACATACAGACCATTACCTGTGGGACACCTGCATTGCTTGCGCCCTGAAGTAAATTCATCCTCATGTTTAACTGTGAAAGAAACAGCAAACACAATAATAAAAGTATTTTACACTCAACATAATAAAGTTCAAGTTATATTCCCACAAAATGAAGCACAAAAAACGTCAACAAAAAGCTCTGATGTGTTAAATGCTGTTACATGTTATTATAAAAATGTTTATAATATAAAAGCACTGATGGAGAAAACAAGCATTTGACTCAAAAGAGAAACTGACGTCCTGCAGGAGGCCTATAAAAAGAGCTACTCTGTGGTTTCCCTGAACCGTGGGGCGGAAATGAAAAGGTCAGTTAGTTTTAGACTCTAAATAAATGCGTTTAATAATGTCAAATATGTGAATAATGCATACTTATACGGCGCTCTGCGATAATATGACCCTCGTGTTGAACGCCGTAGAAACCCAGTGTGCGATTCTCCTCCAGTGTGTAAAAGCAGTAGTGAAGAATAGTGTCTGCAACTGTGGAAGAAACATGAGAAACACACACACACACACACACACACACACACGTGTCAGAGAGCGATGTTTTCCTCATTAATATGTGCTTTCTGAATTATGTTATTTATTTGCAAATTGAATCTCAGGCTTCTTTGTAATATTAGCTGAATCTACATTTAAATACAAATGTTCTTTGTTAACCTGTCAACATCAGGATATAGGCCTATAGTGAACTTCCCACAGGTGTCCACAGAAGACTGGAGGGCTGGACTTACGCTGGTCTCCAGGGATGAGTTTTCTCTTTAACTCCTCCACTGTGGTGTTCCTGAACTCCTCTTCTGAATCCGACACACACACTCTTATTCTCTCGCGTCCGTGTAACTCATCTGTAAAGTAGATCTGGAAACTCATGTTGAATGCGCTCAAACTTTAACTAAATCACCTCAGGATGTAGAAGTAGCTGTTCTGATGGACTCAGTGATGGACAGTTTCACTTTCTCTGTTCAAACTCTCCTGTATTATCATGTTCAGTCACCGCCCACTCTTTCAGAGTCCTTCCCATTTACTTCTTGAATGCTTCCTCAAGTCTAGTCAAGTCTTTTCACATCGAAATCCAAATGAAAAATGAAAGCTTTAAATCTACATACATTGATCCTATAGACACAATTCACCCCATTTTCTCTTCATCTTTGCATGATGAATTGATAGACATGAGGATTATCATGATTAGAGGATGTATAGTGCACAAAACTCAAATAAACACCAAAAAAATGTAAAGATTAATTGTGCCATTGGTTCACAGGAACTCCTCCCCTGTGGACCCTATTGATATATGTTTTCTAACTTTTGTATTTTTACAGTCTGTTAGATGTCTAATAAACAAATGTTGATGATCCCCACCTATTGTCGCATGTATATATCTTTTCTGGCTATATTGGTTGCCACCCTGGATTTCCAAAAAAAAAGCAAAAAGAACATTTACATAATGTCTTAACTTCACATTATATAGTGTCAAATGTCTTTTTCAAACTGTTATATATTTGTAATGCTTTCTCTCTGATAACATATTCTTTAAAATATTGCGCCAAGTTTTTCATTCAGATTTGAATCAATTTGAAACTTAGAGCAATAAGTGTGGTGGAAAGCCAATAACAGTGAAGGCCATCAGAAAGTCCAGCCCAAAATACAAAAAAGAAGCTGTTTAGAGAAATCCAGTGCCACTCTGTGGAAATATACTCCGACCAAGTTTTAAGCTGCCTTAAGACATTAGGTTAGCTAATTTGCTAATTGGTGATCATTGCTAATCATACCAAAGTCTAAGGCTGCATTTACACTGCAGGTCTTGATGCCCAAATCCGATTTTCTGACTATATCCGATTTTTTCGACGACCTGCTTACACCATTTTAAAATTACATCTGCATTACATCTTTTAAAAGGGACCCGTATCCGATTTGTGCATTTACACCATACACAGCTGAAACTACCAAACGTAGACGTTCTGACCCGGAAAATGAAGTAAAACAGCACAAAGATGTGTTTATTTACTTTGAAGATGGTGGAACATATAAGGATTTTTCTTTTTTTGTCCAATTGTTTTTAGTCTTAGGAAAATTCCATATTCATAAGAAGAAATGAGTCCAAACCAAACACCTTTTGCAGAGCTAAAACAATATCACACCACTGTAAGAGGTCTTAAATATAGAAAGGCTATTAAGAACGATCTTGTACTCTCTAAATATGTTTAATTAGCATCCTTTTATGTAATTTGGTCTTGTTTTATTTTTTAATTTTATTTAATTTTATGGTTATTGTTTGTCTTTTGTGTATTGCGTGTATTTTGTGTATCAGCCCTGGCATAAACAGATGTTGTTGTATTATATTGTTAATACTGAATAAAAAAATAATAATAATAAAAACAATGATGTGCACCAATAAATCATTTATAATAAACACTGCAATATTTCATTTAAAAATAAAAAATGGCCATTTTTATTTCATGGTGATTTAAGTGTTTTACGTTAAATAAGTAATGACAATTACGTTTATTTTCTGAACGTGTCACTCAGTCTCACAGCGATAAAGATGTGTCGAACAGAAGTGGTAGAGTGAGTCTCACTGGCGGCCAGCAGGCGGCGCTGTTTAACAGCCCTGGAACCGGAAGCAGTGCGCTGTGGTCTGAGGAAAATACTGCACATATCCAGAAATACTTAAACTATTCCTCCTTTTGATAATAATCGCTTTATTTATTTACTTTTTTAAATATAGTTTTAATATGAATGGTTAGTCCTACGCTATCTTGTTAATAAACAAGTCGATGTTCCTTTGCTCAACACCGGCGGCTCCTGACCAATCACAGTAGTTTAGTGTGAGGCTGGACCAATCACAGCTCTTGTCTGCTGTGAACCATGTAAATATTGTTTGTTGTAAACTTTCAGTTTCGAGTTGAAGCGGTTAAAGTCACGATGGCGTCCGATCTGAGGAAAGAGCTGGAAGAGTTTCTCAAGCGTCTGAATATCGACACGACCTGCATCGACCATCCAGAGGTGGGAATATAACCATAACCATAGACAGTTTAACCGGAGTTAACACGGAAGTGGTCGATGACACGTGTGTGAGGAGGAAATCATATTCACGACACAATTCGAAATTATGACATATATCAATTTATAGATACAAATAAAAAATATTTAAAAAAAATAACATTTCGACGTTTTACTCTCATAATTACATCTTGGTATGTCACAATTTAGACGTTATCTGTATCTCATCATTTCGACTTAAGTCATAAGATGTAATAAACTTCGACTTTTTAAATCTCATAATTATGTCATAATTTTACCTTTTCATCTCAATCAACTTAGTATTTGAGTTTGTGTCGTATGACTCATACACTCACACAAGCTGTAATCTGATGACTGACTGAAGGCATGAGGATATCACATTAAAGGGTTCACCCAAAAATGAAAATTAAGTCATTAATTACTCACCCCCATGCTGTAAGACCTTCGTTCATCTTCGGAACACAAATGAAGTTCACGAGATTACATGTTAATGAAATCTGATGTAATATTAAAATGCGTATTTGGCTTGCTGTCCGGGGCAGGGCTGAGCTCAGAATTCGGCCCGACCCCAGAGTACTCCTAACTTTAGAGATCATAGCTGTCTATGAGTGGACCCAGCCGGGGTGGTGGTGGGATGCTGGGAAATTAGTCATGAGACAGGAGGTAAGGGAAGGCTTCATTTATACTGGATTCTTCTTGTGCTGATTGGATGATTACCTGAACATGCTCCTCCCGAACTTTGTTACATAAAACGTCATATATTTTTGATTAAATTTGAGAGGTGGATCACTGCTACATAGACTCCTAAGGGAATGAAACTTGACGGCCTAGAAAGTCATTAAAGAAAATGTTTAAATCCAAGTGACTACAGTGGCTCAACTATAAGTTTATCAAGAGACGAGAATACTTTTTGTGCAAAAAAACCCCATAAATAACGACTTTATTCGACTATTCCATTACTTCCTTGTGGGCCTGAGACGAGAACTGAGATGAGGACGTTCTTCTTCGACTACTTCCTGTTACCGGCTGCTCACCGCTTAGGAGTATTACCGCCCCCTACTGTATAAGATGACGTGCCGGAAGCGCAAAACTTTCTGTTTACAAGCAGAGGAAGAAGCGCGCTGTACATACGCTTTTCAATTAGACACTTAATGTGCTGTAGGTCTCGCTATATTATATACAATGGTTAAAAAGTGCATTTGCAGGATGGGTTAGGGTTAGAAGAAATGCCTCGCGCACTTCACCCGCGCACGCCTTCACCCGCGCAAACCTTCACCTGCACACCTTTACCTGCACGTCTTTTCCGCTGCGTTGATTGGCTCGCTGGACGGATGCTGCGACGTATGAGTCAATTTTGCATATAGAAAAGGAAACGAAGCCTATTGTGGCCTTCTTTAAGTTGTTGTTATTTTCAGGTGTTTACGGTGGAGGAGATGATGCCTCATGTGGCTCATCTGAGCGGCGCGGTCACCAAGAACCTGTTCCTGAAGGACAAGCGTAAGAAGAGCCTGTGGCTGCTGAGCGTGCGGCACGACCGGCGGCTGGACCTGGGCGAGGTGTCTCGGCGTCTGGGGCTCGGCGGAGGGAACCTGCGGCTGGCGGACGAGGCTCTGCTGCTGGAGACGCTGCGTGTGCGGCAGGGCTGCGTGACGCCGCTCGCGCTCTTCTGCGACTCCGCCCGCAGCGTGACGGTGGTGCTGGACCAAGACCTGACCCACGGCGCACACCAGCGGCTCTATTTCCACCCCATGACCAACAGCGCCACCATGGGGCTCAAACCTGACGACCTGCTGCGCTTCCTGAGGGAGACGGACCACGAGCCTGTCCTGCTGAACCTCGACTAACACTAGCCGCGTTTACATTACAGATTTGGGAAAAACTGTTGCGATATTTTCTAAATGTCAATAAAAAACTATTGGGAAATGATGGATTTTCCATTAACCGAAGTTATGCACATGAAACATTATTTTTTACTCTCATAAGTCAAAAAAAATCATGGGAACGGAACGGATGCTGCTAGGTTTACGTATATCAGCCGCTGCTCTAGCCATTATTAGTAATGGAAGGAGACGTAGGTGTGTTTTCCAACTTTAATGTCAAGAAAAGACCCTTACACTGGGAGCGGCACGTATGAGGTGTTTCTGGGTCAGTTCTGCTTCAAGCTCTTGATAAACTGTGGCATTTCTTTGTTGTTTAGAATCTAGTATTCCCATAATTCCTGAACTTGTATGAGTTTAATAAAGAACTCTGTCTCGGCTCTTGTCTAAACATACCGTGCCTTCTGTAAAGAATGATCATGTGGCTTTTACGTACGTCAGGTGACTGTAAATGCACAAAAATGTTTCCATTGCAGTTTCGCAAAAGATTCCTTTTTTGAATTGTCTAAAAAACCACCTCATATGAACTAAAAACTTTTTTTGTGATAAATGGTAGATTTTGGAAAAATGTACGTGTTTTCATTGGGTGTATTTTCAATTTCAATTAGCGCAACTTTGAAGGGTGATGGAAACGCGGCTATTGTGACACTAACTACATTACTAACATTACTGCTGCTCTCCTTCTGGACAACTTTACTGTATTTACTGAAAGATTTTACAATCACTAGGACGCATTTCTCTACATTCAGGTCAGTTTTTCTAAACTCTTTACATCGTTCTCCTGACCATCTGTCCTGTGCAGGAAAACCACCAAAACACATCAGTTATCAAGGCGTTCTTCCTTAGGTTTAGTAGGAATGAAAAATAAGTGGTCCATCTGATTGGAACGTCTCATATTTGGGTTTCAGTCACATGGTCAGGGAAAGAATAAAAGAAGATTTTAACTGTTGCTCTCTCTCTCCCTCAGGTAACATTTTACATATATGCTGGGTACAATTAATGGTATAAGTCTATTTTGTAACTATTTTAAGTGTAACCATAACCATATTGTCATTTGGTCTGAGTGATTTGAAAGATGTGGTTATTGAATGCATTTAGTGCCAGTGATGAATGATCTCGTGTATCCCACACTGACTGATGTTGATCTCCGTGTCAAGAAACGAGTTCTACGACTGTAAACAACGTGTTCACTGCTCCATCACACAAACACATCTCCCGTTTGTCATATTCTCGTCTTCTTCTGTTTCTCACAGTGGAGGAAACACACACACACGACAGAGAGTTCATCGCATCAAATTACTTATTAACAGAGGAATGAAGCCGGATGAGACGTTCACACAGGAAACACTGCTGTGTTATCAAGTGGCGTGTTATCTCTACGCATTTTGAGCTATCCGCGTGTATGTCTACGCCATTAACGTCCGCGTCATACCGCGTGTCTGAACACGCCGTCAAATGTCCAGTCATAAATGCCATTATAACCCCAGTGACGGTTAAGTTTAGGGATGGGGTTGAGGTAAGTCATATCTTTTTTTTCCCTAGGATGGTGAGGGAACAGTCATAAATGCCATTAACCCCAGTGACGGTTAGGTTTAGGGACGGGGTTGAGGTAAGTCATATATTTATATAACGTTAAGTCAACGACGTTCATAAACACGCTGAAAAGCGATTATGCGTCTTGATAGCACGCCAAAAATGGAAATTGGGGTGTCATACACACTGCTACTTCATGAGATCAGTCTGCACATACTCACTCAACACTCACACATACTCCGTCCAGCATCACTCTTTAAAACACACTCGTCCCGTATCTTTAAAACACACTCGTCCCGTATCTTTACAACACACTCGTCCAGCATCACTCTTTACAACACACTCCTTCAGCCTCACTCTTTACAACACACTCCTTCAGCCTCACTCTTTACAACACACTCCTTCAGCCTCACTCTTTACAACACACTCGTCCAGCATCACTCTTTACAACACACTCCTTCAGCCTCACTCTTTACAACACACTCGTCCAGCATCACTCTTTACAACACACTCCTTCAGCCTCACTCTTTACAACACACTCCTTCAGCCTCACTCTTTTGTTACGGAATCCTTTGGGTCCTTGATTCAAGGAAAAAGAAGGACATTTCTTTATTTTCTTTTCTGAGGGTCCATGATTAAAAAGAGCGAGAAACAGACGTGTTTCTCATGCAGGGGAATGGTGCCAGTCTTCAGACGGTGATTCTGTGATGGGAAATAAGAGATAAGACATGAGCGTCACGAGAAAGAGCTTCGTCCTGCTGCTCATCGCCAGGAAACGCTGCCGTTCAACAACAAACCGCTAATGCTGAACACGTGACCTGTGTCTGATCGCAGTAATTGGCGTGCAGAGACCGCATAAAAGCCGGAGGGAACTTCTTTACTTACAGAATTGATAATATTAGAGAAAAATATTAAAACTATGCAGCCGTCTAGTACAGTATCGCATCAGGGTGTGTACTGTAGTCTCCACAGGAAATATTCCATTCAC